AAAAGTTTTGGACATGGTGAACCTAAGGTGTCTCATAGTTATTGTGTGGGCAGTTGGATGGACACACAGGTCTGGAGTTCTGGGGAGGAAATTTTGCTGGAGATTTTCAAGGGGATGAGGCATCTGGTGAAAGCCTGGAGATCAGATTTAGGAGGAGGAATATTAAGGATGTTATCTTACGGGGTCCCTGAGGTGAGCGATGGGAGAGCAGGGAGAAGATATGGGCATTCTCGAGAGTTTCTTTCCAGAAGGGTGGAGTCCTGGCCTATGAAAGGATTCTGGCTGCTGTCAGCAGAAGAGGGCTGTAGAGCATATGGAGTCCAGCCTGCAATGGAAACCAAAGTGTGAGGTGCTGTAGATTTGCCACCTTATGGAATCAGCAAGTCCTGACGGGCATGCCTGTGGAACAGAGGTAAAATCAGCAAGATTAGTGGAGCAGCCCCAGCCCAAACCAGGGCACTGGTGCCTCAGTTCCTTAAAGCCTCAGGTGGGGAGAGATGATGAACATTTTGAATGAAGGGCCACAGGTAGCTCCTCTTCAGAGTATATGTACCGGGTAGATTGGTATGGTGACAGGGCTAGTATAAACCTGGCAAGTATATGTAATTAGGCAGCTAAAAACATATACATAAAATAAATTAAATTTATACTGATGCTTAATGATTGGTTGAAACATTAATTTGCCTCTGAGTATTTGATTACAGTGGAAAGTCTTAAATATCACATTTACTTAAAAGCAGGCAGAGCAAATCTAATATTTCAAAAATCTGTCAGTTCATTTGGATTGGTTGCATTTACTGTCCATGAGTTTAATACTTTTGCAGATAAAGTAATAGCTATTTCAAGGGCACTTGACATGTACAGACATGTCTGATACAAACGATGGCCCTCCGAGGTGGGTACCATTATTATTCCCACTTTACAGCTTAGAGAACTGAGATTACAGGTCTTTATCCATGGTCACAAAACTGGTAGGAGGCAGCAATGAGGTCTGAGTATCTGAAGTTAGAGAGATAACTTTGAATCATCACTGATGCAAGATAGGACAGGGGTTAGTGAAACAGTTCAGTCCAGTAGATCCCACTGTGGTAACCTGCCATTCCCAGCCCTCCTCTTCCTGCCAGGTTGTTATGGTGGCAGTTTGCAAAGGTGAGTGCAGTATGTCCCAGTCCTCACTCAGCCCATCTCCACCCCCGTGAACTCTGTGGCCTGATATGGTGAATGGTAGTGTCCTCAGAATCTTCACATACTCTTCTGTCTGCCATTTGGTTTGGAGTCCTTATTTCACCAAAAGCCCTATGTCCTGAATTCTGTTCTGGAATTATGTGGAAGGATTTCCATTTCTGGCAAGCAACAGGATGAAGTGTGGAACACTGTCCTAGACACAGGAACAATCATGTGCCAATGCTTCACTTGAGGCTGAAGCGGGAGTGTTCATGGAACCTCAGGTCTTCATTATATCTGAAGAAGTTGTGGAGCAGGGCACGGGATTCTTACCAGGAATGGCAGCCCTAACCTGGGTTTCTATTCTGAAAGGGACAAGAGCAATTGAAGGTCTGAAATTAGATGAGGGAGTGATCTGACTTTGGTATTAACCAGCTTTTTCTGGCTGTACAGTGAAGAAAAAACTATGGGAGTGAAGATGAAGGAAGACCAGTGAGGAGCATACTGCAAGAGTCCTAGGTGACTCAAGGTGGCAGACATGGTTGGATTCTGGATCTTTATTTTTGTAAGTAGTACCAACCAGATTTTTATTAAAGAAATTTATTTTTTTGACTTACACATACTGACATATTTATGGGTTACAGAGTTGTATTTCAATACATATATTCAAGTTGTGATGATCAAGTCAGGGTAATTAGCATATTCATCATTGCAAAACTTTATCATTTCTTTGTGATGAGAACATTTGAGCTCCTCCAACCAGATTTTCTGGTGTGGAGGATGAGAGAGAAGAGGAGAAGTCAGGGGTGACCCCACATTTTTTAGTCTGAGAAGATGTAAGGATGGAAGAGTCCTCAACTAGATGGCAAAGTTGGTGGTAGGAGTAACCTTCAGAGAATATAGGGAATATAGTATTGGCTGTGTTGAAGCTACATTGTTCCAAGGGCATCTGAATGGAGTTGTCAAGTGGAATACTGGACACACAGGTCTGGAGTTCAGGGACGGGGTTCAGGTTGAAGACATTTCAAGGTGGCAGCAGGAATGTAAATCAGGGTAGAGCTGTGCATTCAATTAGTAGAGAATCTTTGGCATGATGGCAGTGCCCTTAGGGGTCTCTAAAGTGGTCAGGTATAGCAGGGTAGGGGTAGGAAGCAAGCAAGAGACAAGAAAAGGGAGGGTGGTGTCCTTGGGCAAGGAGGGGAAGAGTAGGGTCTGGTAGGTGGCAAAATGTTGAAGGGAGAGAGTGGATGTGAGATGGATGCTGAGGTTTGTAGTAATAGAAGTGAGGTGGCAGTGAGGTCACAGCTGGTGCTTATTCACTCCTTTATGTGCTCCTCAGGCTTCTGTGGTGAACTTTGGTGAAAACTGAGGAATTTCAGTTGAGCTGGCAGATTAGCTCAGGGGCAGATTGGGTAAGCTGGCAGAACACTGTGGTTGAGGTGGGGGCCCAGTGGGTGTGGGCTTTGAATGAGTTAAGTGTTGAGAAGAAGCGCATGGCTGATGATAGCATCTTCAGCAGTGCATCAGCAAAGTGGAAAAGGGCCGAGTTTATCTGACAGCTGCACATGTTTCTGGATTGCTGAGTGGAAGCAAGAAATAGGGCCGGGAGGGGAGACTTTAGAGCTGAATTCAAGACAACCCATGGCAATGGGGCCATTGACGAAGGCCAGATGTGATCCTGGATGCTTGAACCAAGCATTCTTGATCCTGCATGCAGATTTGCATTAGGGGAAGCTAGGGAGGTACTTCTGTTGTGGTTGTCTGTAGATGTGAAGGAAGTAGTCTGAACAGTGATGTGCACATGGAGGTAAAGTGTGAGTTCATGGCCCCAGGCAACAATACTGAGGGCTTCAGAGAGAACTTTTGAGTTCAAATTTGTCTATGAGAGGAATAACCTGGGACCCCAGGGGCAGTGGCTAGCAGAAAGGGTTGGGCCCTGCATGCCAGGCCTAGAATATATATGGTGTCTATCTGTCCGTCTGCCTGTTGCTCTGGACTGGACAAAATGATTAATGGGATATGAGGAGAGGGCAGGCTTCAGTCACGCCATCGCCTGATATCTTGTCTGGGTTATGAAACTGGGGAGGAAAGTGGATATGTGGAAGATAGATCAGGAGTCCTGGGAAGAGAGGCTGCCCTGTGCTGAGTTGTCTACTTCACACAGGCCCATGTGACCTTTGAGGACATGCTTGTGTACTTCTGGGAGGATTGGGTGCTACTTGACAATGCTCAGAGGCTCTTGTATCATGATGTAATGCTTTCTGAGCTTTGCTCTTGTGGTCTCCTTGGCCTCACATACCCCAATTTTCTTGGCTGGGTACTGTTCTTCCTTTTCTCCCCAGGTGTTGTGCTTTCCTTCCCTTAGCTGGACTGTGGGTACTATTATTTTCCCTGACTTTGTCACTCATGTCCTTTGGGTTTCAAGGCCACCTAAATGTATTGCCTCTTCCACTGTCTATGCTCCCCAACTCCTATTGCCCTGCAGCCTTGCCAGGAAGTTTGGAGGTCAGGGGTTTTGAGGTTATTAGCCCGGTGTTTCCTACCCTGCTTGTCCTTTCCCTGGGCAGATGATTCTGTCCACATTCATGACAGCTCTGGGCTCCACTTCTGCCCCCTTCCTGTGATTGGCATTTCCCCAGGCCCATCTGTGTCATGAATTTCAGTCTTCATGGTCACTGTTTGTAGGGTCCACTGGTCTGTTCCTGCAAGGTAATTTTCTGGGGTTCATTTTGTAATACTTGTTTTCTTGTGATCTTGCATGGGTGGCTTACTTTGGGCTAGTGGTTTTGCACTCACCAGTCCTATCTTTTTTCTATGACTTGTGTCTTCCAGATCCTCTATGGTTGCTGAACTGTAGCAAGGGAGAGAACTTGGGGTACCTGTCTGAGAGGGCATGACTCTAGCCACAGCAGTAGGGGCATGGACAGGCACTGGTGAGTGGGAGCTGGGGAAGGTGTGACTTCAGAGCTGCATTCAAGTAGTACCAGAAACCTGTACTGTGCCCACCACTGTTTGGTACCAAGGTCACAGGCATACCTTATTTCTATCTTGTCCTCCCCTACTGAAAGTCATTTGCAGAAGACTAGATTGGAGACCCCGTCTGCCTCTTATCTTTGCGCTACACCTTATTCTGTCATCTTTGTCCCTTGTGGGGCCTTCCCCATTACATCCCAGTATGTACAGCTGACCTTTCTTTATCCTGATCCTAGTTCTGTCCTGCCAACAACCCCTTGAGTCCATAGGGTGTACCAGACTCACGTTTGTGACAGAGTTGCCCCCTCCCACCACAGTCAACATGTGCATAAACAGTGTTTTTCTTCCTTCAGGTCGTTGGCATGGAGTGGAGGATGATGAGGCACCTGCTAAGCAGAGCGTTTCTGTAGAAGTTGAACACATTGTTGCTCCCAAGGCAGGTTCATCCTCCCAGAAGGCTCAACCTTGTGATGTATGTAGCCCCATCTTGAAAGATATTTTGCCTCTGGATGAATACCAGGGAACACATCATGGACTTAAACCATACACATGTGGGGCATGTGGGAGAGAATTCTGGTTCAGTGCAAACTTTCACCAGCATCAGAAGCAATACAGTGTAGAGAAACCCTTAAGAAGGGATGAAGGCAAGGCCTCATTTGTGAAGAACTGCAGAGTTTGTGGAGAACCTCACCTGTCAGAGAAACTCTTTAAATGTGAGGAGGAGCAGAAGAATGTCCAGGCCAGTTTGGGCAGTCCCCAGCAAAAGGCCCCCCACAGGAAGAGGAAGGCACCCAGGAACACCAAGAGTGGGGAAGTCTTTCACATTGGACAGATGCATTACAAGTGCAGTGAATGTGGGAAAGCTTTCAGCCGCAAGGACACACTTGTCCAGCACCAGAGAATCCATAGTGGAGAAAAGCCTTATGAGTGCAGTGAATGTGGGAAAGCCTTCAGCCGAAAAGCCACACTTGTCCAGCACCAAAGAATTCATACAGGTGAGAGGCCTTATGAGTGCAGTGAATGTGGAAAAACCTTTAGTAGAAAAGACAATCTTACTCAACATAAGAGAATCCACACTGGAGAGATGCCGTATAAGTGCAGTGAATGTGGTAAATATTTTAGCCATCACTCCAACCTAATAGTACACCAGAGAGTTCACAATGGAGCAAGGCCTTATAAGTGCAACGATTGTGGGAAAGTCTTCAGACATAAGTCCACACTTGTTCAGCATGAGAGTATCCACACTGGAGAAAATCCTTATGATTGCAGTGATTGTGGGAAATCCTTTGGCCACAAATACACCCTCATTAAACATCAGAGAATTCACACTGAGGCAAAGCCTTTTGAGTGCGTTGAATGTGGGAAGTTCTTTAGTCGAAGCTCCGACTTTATTGCACACCAGAGGGTTCATACTGGAGAAAGGCCTTTTGTGTGCAGCAAATGTGGAAAAGATTTCATCAGAACCTCCCACCTTGTTCGGCACCAAAAAGTTCACACTGGAGAAAGGCCATATGAGTGCAGTGAATGTGGGAAAGCCTACAGTTTGAGCTCCCACCTCATTCGGCACCGGAAAATTCACACTGCAAGAAGGCTTTAGGAGTGCTTTCAGTGCAGCAGGACTCATCAGTGAGATGTTGAATGTCATGTATCTGAACATTCACCCAGGGGAGTTAACTTATGAGTGCGAGGTACATGGGAAGCTTTCAGGGTTACACTTTCTGATCTGCTCAAGTTGCTTGTTAGAGTTATGTCACTGTCAATGCCAATGGCTGAAACCATCTCAACTCTACCAGCTTAGTCATGCCAACATCCTCAGGGAAGGCAGGACTTTGTACTCTCTTCAGTTTCTGGAGGGATTCACAAGACACCTGAGTATAATGGGGTCCTCATTTCCTCCTCTCTTAGAAGTATAGGTGTGGACATGACCCATCTTTAGCCAAGAAAACGTGAGCTGTGTTCTTTTGGTGGATTACAGGGGAGCCTTACTTTCTTCATGCACATTGCTGGTCTTATGTAATATTCGTCCAGGTTGCCCAGCCTGGGACAGTACTTGCCACATGTTGCTTTGGTTTGTGATATAAAGGCCATAGAGTTTAACGCATGTCTAATCTAGGGGGTTCTTTTCACTGTGGAGATTATAAACAGGCTCTGCCAAACTTTAGAGGTTAACAGCCTTCTGATGGGACGGTGGGTTGTTGGAGAACAGTTCTCAGTCCAGTTTTGGTGTTAACTTCCATGGCTGACCAAAGCTTAGGTGACAAATCAGATCTTTGTGGGCCTGATTTTTCTAGATTTCAGAGTTATTTGAGGGCCCATACATAACCTTGATGAGGGTGCTGCTTTTGTGACAACCTGTGGTATGTTTGGGAACAGCATAAGTTGGGTATCTTGTTTCCAGCTTGTGTTCCATATTCTCCAGCATGGTTGAGGGGAAGCTGTTTCTCAGGACCTGCTGACTGGCCCTATTACCTGAAGGCCAGGTATACAGGTAAGACCTAAAGTGTCCAGGAGGGAAACAAAATTGGTTCAGAAATACTGGGTGTGAGTAATTGAGATGGGAGGAAACTGCAGCAAACTAGAGGGGAAGTGCCCATTGTGAAAACACATTCACAAACACTCTGGTTACTGTGGCTGTATAGGATGAGGACGTACAGAAATTCTCAGGATCTCCAGGGCTCATTCGTATGGCCAAGGTCACTGGCACAGCAAAGAATGTAGTTTTCCTGGATTCCTGTGCCTCTCTGGGCATTTTACTGCACTGGCAATAACCCCTAGAGTAGAAAGGTACTGTGGTTCAAAGATGTTGCTTTTGTGACCAACCTGGTGACTTTGTTAGAAGTGGCCAGTTTTACTTGCTGCTGAGGAAGAGGTGGTTTTCCTAAGGCATTTGGAGTGAAATGGTAGAGTTACTGTATTGATGACCAGTCTGGTTTTCCAGTAGAAGTGGGAGACACAGATTTTTAAGAGAATATATTTCTTATAGATTCATGGAAGTGTAATTCATTGAGGTGCATGCAATATACTGCATACTTAAAGTGTACAATTTGGTAAGTCTTTATCTATGTATTCACCTGTGAAACTATTACCCTAGCAATGATGTTGGACTAATCCTTCATCCCCCAAAGTTACCTTGTGTCCTTTCATACCTTCTTTCTCCATGCTCTTCTTAATGTCCCTTCCCCAATCTCCCCAGTACTACATCTTTGAACCACAGTATCTCTACTCTAGGGGTTACTGCCTATGCAGTACAAAGCCTAGGCAAACATTGATTTATTTCTACTATAGATAAGTTTGCCTTTTCTAGAATTTTATGTAAGTATGAAGTGTTTATATGTATTGTCAGCTTTCATGCAACATAATTTTAAGATTTGACCATGTTATGTGTATGAATATCTCACTTATTTATTGCTAAGTAGTTATTCTACTGTATGCATATGCCATAGTTTAACCATTTATCTTAATTGGTATTTGGGGTCCCTCCCACCCCAGTTGTTAAATATTAAAAGGAAAGCTGCTGCAAATATTCATGTATGAGTCTTTATATGGACGTTTATCTGAGAACATTTTTCAACAAAAGTGTTGAATGGATGGCCTCATTTCTTCTTACTGATTCTAGTAAAATGTAATAGAGAAGAGATAAATATTGGTAGGAAGTATGAAACAGAAAAGACCCAAGACTTGCTGATTTGGGAAGTTCCCAGCCAATCTTAGTTGCAAAAAAAAAAAGTTGAAATTAAGAGATTCGTCATCAGGAAAGCATGTCCTATACAAATAACCAAAGGTGTGGTTGCAGTGCCTTTTGCTAATATCCCAGCAAGATTAAAGGTCGGATTATTCTGTCACACAAAAAGCTCTTTGAAAAGATTTTGTGACTCCCAGGTCTTCAGTACAATCTGTGGACCTCTTAAACTAGGAAACTAGTTATCTGCTCCCAAAACAGTAGTACAAAATGAAAGAAAGCATCTAGATAGTTTAAGGGCACCCCACAGCCATCTCAGCAAAAGCCAAAAATAGATATGGGTTATCTAGTAGGAACTACAGATCTGTGAATAACTAATAGAGTCAATCACAGTAAGATACAGGAGACTCACAAAGTTTTTGAAAATGTTACACTAGTGGGGACACTGTCACCTTGGGTCTAAAGGGTGTAGGATCTCTAACATTTTACACATATGAAACTGGCTGAGAAAACTGAGCTGCAAACCCTTGCTGCCTTTTGTGGAAAAGGGTTGGTGACTCAGAATAGAGGAGAGCCCAGGCTACAGGGCCTCCCAGTGGGCAGATGATACTATTTCCAGGCATTGATACCTGATAGCATTTGCTAAGCTGGATATCAAAATTTCTTGGGACTGGTGGCTTTTTTTTTTCCTTCCATTTTTCTCACCTTTTGAAACAATGTATATATAACTTATCCTAGGTTTGTCCCTTCTGTATTTTGGGAGCAGATGAATGGTTTTCTAGCTCAGTAGTTTTCTAGCTAAAACTAGATGAATAGTTTTCTAGTTTCTAGTGTTGTGTCTTTTCATATAAATCTTGTACATATTTTGTTAGATCCACAGATGGAGAGGGATTGTGCACCAGGATGGATTATACTCAAAGCCTAACCCATAACTTATTTAGACAATTTACTTGATGAGATTTGTGGCTTTTGAGCTAATGAAATTTGGACGAGATTTAGATTTAGAGTTGATACTGTAATGAGATGAGCCCTTTTGAGAACTTGGGATGGGATACATGTATTTTGTGTTCAGGACAGATGTGAATGTTTGCAGTCCAGAGGGCATATTGTGGTAGGCAGCATAATTACTCCAAAATATGTCCCTGCCTTAATCCCCAGCACCTATAAATATGTACATTTCATGGCCAATAGGACTTTGCACATGTGATTAATGTTACAGTGAGACACTTAACTTCAGGTGGGCTTAATCTAACCACGTGATTCTTAAAAGTGGAGAACCTTTCCCAACTTCAGAAAGAAAGATGGAAGGACAGAAAAAGAGTCAGACATATGTCAGGGTGATATGGCTGATTAATGCCCCATTGTTGCTTCTGAGATATAGGGGGTTACCTACTAGGACTGGAAAGGGGCCCCTAGGAGCTATGCACAGCACCCATCTAACAGCCAGCAAGGAAGCAGAGACCTCAGTCCTACAACCACATGCAATTGAATTCTGGCAACAAACCAAGTGAGCAGGAATCTGATTCCTCATAGCCTTCAGGAAGTAATACAACCTGTCAACCTCCAGGAATAGCCGGGGCCAAGGAACTGGTGGTGAGCTCCACCTCTGTTAGTGGGGCCTCACAGGTATAAAGGTTCTAGGGCCTGACATCGAGATATGCCTAGAGAGGCCTTGGTTCCTTAGGGAGGGGTGTCAGTTGCCAAGTAGGGGGGTACCCAGGCCCAGAGAGACCTCTGGTCTAACCAGCTGTGCCTCACTGGGCTTTCTGGCCTCCTGGTGCTGGATCCTACTGCCCCATACTCTGCAATCTCCAGAAGCCCCATTTTTAAGACTTCCATGTGCACGGTTGGTGTCGCCTCGGAATTCCCTATGCACCTAATGGGGGCAACCTCTACTTCCCTGATGTCTCACTAGCCGCTTGATCCTGCCCCACCACCTGCGCCCTTGCTGCTGCTACTGCTTCTGTGGCCTTAATGGCCTTGGCCCCTCCACTGCCTGACCTCTGACCCAGTCAACCCCACACTCCTCCCTATTCTGCCACCTGGACCCGCCTCTCCCTGCAGAGTCCAGTGCTCTGCTTCCTACACCAGCGCTACACTCCGCACCTGCTCTTGTGCCACGGCCAGCTCTGCTGGCACCAGCGACCCACATGGCACCTCCTGCCTGGTCTGGTGCTCACCTGGTGCTGCCTACTCCCAAACTCAAGGCCCCTGTGCTCCTCACTGCCTCACCCTATCCCACTCAGGGCACTGCTGTACTGAAGTGCTCTCTAGTGCCTTTTGAAAACCAGTCTCCAGCGGCATCTTTTGCTGAGCCGTGGGAAATAAGTTCCCTCTCATCCACAAATCCTATGATGTAAACCTTCGAAATCTTGGTCCCTGGCCTCCTGTCTACTTGCTCTCCTGGATCCCTCCTGGGGAGGCTTTAAAAGGAGGAATCAGCATCTTCTGATGGATGGGAAGGCAACATTTTCAAGAGGTCATCCCCACTCAAAATCCACACTGGGGTGGTCCTGCACCTCTACTTGGGATTTCTACTATCTGCTTCAACCCACAGGCCTTGCACACTTTCCAGTCTCTTGGAACACATCCTTTCCTCTGTCTTCCGTTTTCTGCCATCCTTACATGTAACAAAGGTGGTTCTGTCTTCATTTGGGGTTTCATTTCCCTCTTTTCCCCTTTTCCTTTGCTTCCTGTCCCACTCCATGGCATTCCTTTGCAAGGAATTCTTTTGCCACCCTCACAATTATTTGCTAGGATATTTCCCTTCTCCCTCCCCAGAATTAAAGTATATTTTAAAGAGCAGTTTTAGGTTCACAGCAAAATTGAGCACAAGGTATAGAGAGTTTCCATATACCTCTTTTTTCCCCAGTGTGTACAACCTCCTCTACTATCAACATTCCAGATTGGCCCACTTGTTACAATCAGTGAACCTACACTGACATTATCACTCCAAGTCCGTATTTTCCATTAGAGTTCACTCTTTGCCACCACCCCCTCACAACAACTGATCTATTCACCAT